AATGGAAGGTCTCGATTTCATTGTTGGAGGGGACTCATTTTGACCATATATAGGGTTCAATTTAGTTTGTTTTTTTTTTTTGAGATTGATTATTGAGATGAAGAGATTGTGTGCGCAAAATTTTGGGTCATACAAATACCACAAACATGGTTTTCTAGAAGTGTGGTTGCATTATTCTATGATACAACCGTTGCATGAAATCACTGCCCATATATATATATATATATATGTACGCATGTGTGTGAGTGCGTGCGTGCGTGTGTGTCTATACATATACATATACATATACATAGATAAGTATATATACAATATATAGTATACAGTTTTGAATGTTAAAAAGAAGAGAGGGTTTGAACCTCTAGCAACCACAAGGTCTTGTGTGTGTGTGTGTGTGTGTCTATACATATACTTATACATATACATATACATGTGCACATACAAATACATATACAAGTATATCTAACATATTATATATTATGCAGTTTTGAAGAGGGTTTGAACCTCTAACAACCACAAGGTCTAGCCAACTAAAGTATTCAAGTTCTCTGATATGTTTTATATACTATATACTTTATATCCTTTTTTTTCCCCGAATCACCAATTCCAATCGGGATTGTTTGGTGGACGATCTGCCATACACTGTGTTTTTGAAAACGCTGGAATAGATGGATTGTGGGTGGTGAGGCAGGAATATAAGGTCATGGAGGTTAAAGATGATCAGCTTGGTCAAGGGCTTTAGGTTTAAGGTTCAGGTGGTGGTCGGCTAGGGTTGAGATGGAGGAATTGATGGTTTTGGTAGGCTAGTATTTTGTGAAGATGGATGTGGGGCGTGGATGCAAGAGGGAGGGGATCAAGAGAAAGATTGAACCAGAAATATGTATGGAACGAACAACATACACAATTTGATGAGACTTGGGTTTATTTTATAATCAACACTAAAACAAAACTAGGGTTTCATGGCATGAACACCTCAATGATGAAGTCTTACATTGAAAGCCAACTTCAATTCTCAGAATGAAGCAAGCTTGATGTATAAGTCTTCTCAAAGAATGTCATTTCATGGGCAAGAAGGAAACAAACCCGCCTTGAAGGCTTTCATGCATTTTCAAGAGATTCTTTCAATATTTAGTGGCATTTGGGCTACTCTCCATTGTTCATGGAGGGAAGAAATGTAATTGCTCAGCTGTAATGGCTCATTAAGGGGTCCATGAAGCCTCTTTCGAAGCCACATTTTGTAACTATGTAGGTGTCCAGTAGTTGTCGACAAGTTTTGTGAATATATACTTGTAACAATCATTTACGGTAATGAAATTTTGCTAATGATAAAAAAAAAAAAATTGTTTAGCCATAGAGCTGCTAGTACATGCGTTAGAGTTCTTTTCATCTTTGGGCGTTTGATCCTTGCTTGGATTGTATTTCAAGTGACTCTAGATTTGCTTAAGAAACTTTCAATACTTAATGATAGAGGGAAAATTATGCCTATTTTTAATTTCTATTCCATTTTAAAGGATGTATATTTTGATTTTAGTTTTAGGGTTTAATTTTAGGGTTTTTTAGTTTCTAAGAACTCTACGGACTTTTTAGATATTTTAATTGAAGTTAGGTAATTTAGTTTTAAGTTATACTTAAGTTATGACTTTTTGGTCAAAAGTAGTTGTATGGACAAATATTATCCAAAACAATAATTTTTCAATATAAATAAGGGTATGGATGGGCTGGAGAGTCATTTATGTGTTTCTCTTTAAGAAGAAAAAGACTTTGTTTTGTAAAAAAAGCCTAAAGCTTGAGTCCTAGGTGGGAGAATGCCTTAGGGTTTCTCCAAAATTGCTTGTGTTTGATATATTCCTATTTATTTTTATTATTCCTTCAATTTCTCTTGCATCAAGTAGTGTTAGAGCCTGCGATCTACACGAAGTTACTGTAGCAAGTACAAAAGTTATTGTAGCTGTACCAAGTACAGAAGTTACTGTAGTAAGTACGGAGTTACTGTAGAACCACGCTTTTTGGTGCCCTAGGTTGACAACAAAGAGGGGAAGTCATATTGGGGTTTAGGGTGTGTTGATTTTGGCCAAAGTTTTACCAAAACAACCTAGATTTTGCTAATTTCAGCAGTTTTTTGTTGATTATTTACCTAGGGTTTGTGATTCGCAAACCCATGGCAGCGAAAAGGGGCCATAGTAAGGGGATTTTCGTAGATCTACTCCATGATCCTATAGATGACGTAATTGAGGAACTTGAAAATACAGCAGCTGGCGTAGCAGTTCTACCTCAATAATGAGCAAGATGGTGATCTTTCAGCCCAAGAGGATCTCGAGTACAAGCCTTTTCACTTTCACACTCCGCATGTGAAAGTGACAAAAGACCTAGATGTGAGGAACATCACTTTAGGGTTTCGATTTGAAAGATGATATTTTTTATTTCGACATAGATTTCATGGAAAGTCAACAAATTGTTGATAGGAATTCACCACCAATCTTCGACATATACTCTGATGAAGGACAATATTTCTTAGGAGATCCGATCTATGATATGGATCGAGATGATGGTGACGGTGTTTTTGAAGAGAGGGAAGAATATGGAGAGAAAGCAGCAGGAGGATTGATCAAAATCATGCCCTTTGAATATCTTATCAATATTGAAGAGGTGGAGCGTTCAACAAATTTAGGGCATTGGAATCAGAGTAGCGCAGTGAAAATGTGGCCGTCTCAACCGCAAATTATGGCCCTGATGTTAGAAAGTGATCAAATAGATGTTGAGAAAACCTCTAAAGGCCAGAAAATTGAGTTAGGAGTATCTTACATGATTTTCAATGGGCGTTCACGAATAATTGAATTTGATAAATTTGCATGGATTCCTCAATATGCATATCAAGACCCATTTCTTGAGGAATTTTTTGAGCTGACAAAGAAAAAGAAGGTTAAAGAATGTGGTTTTGATGTTGAATTCATCTTAGAACACTTCAAAACTTGAGAATGGGTTTTCTGCAACAAGGGGAGAATGATGGAGGGAAAACTTATACTTTTTTTTAATTTCTATTTTATTTTAAAGGATGTATATTTTGATTTTAGTTTTAGGGTTTAATTTTAGGGTTTTTTAGTTTTTAAGAATTCTAGGGATTTTTTAGATATTTTAATTAAAGTGAGGTAGTTTAGTTTCAAGTTATACTTAAGTTTGGACCTTTTTATCAAAAGTTAGTTGTATGGACAAATATTGTCCAAAACAATAATTTTTCAATATAAATAAGGGCATGGATGGGCTGGAGAGTCATTTACGTATTCCTCTTTAAGAAAGAAAGACTTTATCTTGTAAAAGAAGCTTAAAGCTTGAGTCCTAGGTGGGAGAATGCCCTGAGGTTTCTCCAAAATTGCTTGTGTTTGGCTTTTTTTGGTAATTTTATTGTTCCCTCAATTTCTCGTACATCACTTAAGGAGTACATAAACTTCATAGTCCTAATGTAAAAATGAAGCACCAAAGAATTCCCTAATAACGCCATTTGATCATTTATAAGGATGTCCAAAGTGATGATACTACCTCCACAATGCAAATAAGTGGGTGATTAATGAAATTGTTCAAGGAAGTGGATTTATGAAATTGCTCATGGATGTGGACTAAATGGTGAAAGCCCACATAAAACATGATGAATTGAAGAATGTTCATTCTTCAAGTGGGTTCTTGATTTTTTGTGAGCACTGGATTAAGTGGGTGAACCTGGTCTCTAGTATTTCTCTATTTTTGTCCAGTTGTGGGACTTGAGGCCCATGGGCAAGAATGAATAATGCCTGAAGTTTTTGGAGTTACAACAGACAATAATATACTCCCTTGTTAACTAAACAAGCTAGGATGTTTCATTAAAGAGTTTCATTTTCTTATCTCCCTAATGCTGAAGGCTTGTTTCTATTGAAATATTTAGATTGTTTTTGAGTTTTGTTGAATTTGCTGAGACCAACTTGAAACTCAAAGTTTGCCTTTTCAGTCAGGGCTGTTCACCTGCACTAAAAGGTTCTAGGAACCATATTCATTTTGCTTTTCTTTCAACTCCAACAGAACACAGCTGATAAGTGTTGGGCTGCCGATTGCGATCGTAACTTTTTAATATGTGCTTCAAAGTTAACACTTTCAAAAACAAAATAAAAAAAAGAAAAAGAAAAAGAAAAAACAAACTCTTTAACATGTGCTTTCCACTCCATATCCCCCTTCTTTGGTTAGTGAATTGTTCATGGGATGCAAAGCCTAAAACTGCAAATTACTGTGCATGTCTTCTTAGTAAGTTCTTGAGTTATAAAATATCTTTTATCCTGCAGTTTCTGATTTTACGTAGGAAACAGTCTGGATTGACTCTTTTTCCTCTTGCTTAAAACCTACCATTAGTTTTTAGTTCCCAGAACTAATTTCGTTTGTTTCTTAGATTGCACAAGCAACATCTAATCAGATGTCCAAGCGTGATCCTCTGCGGCCCTACATGGATGTTATTGACAACATGTTGGTTGAGATGGTAATTTTATGCCTTGGGCATGAAGTTGTCTAAATCCATGTTCTGCAATCTGATAAGTATCTAATGTTATTGGTTGTATTCTTGATTTCCTTAAACTGTGATGTCATTCGTTTCAGTTTAGACAAGATCCAGGCTTTAAGCCGTCGGGAGGAAGATTAGGAGAGAATGATATGGACTATGATGCAGATGAGAAATCAATGGCTACCCTTAGACGGCAACTAAGGATAGCTCGTGAAGAATATTATAGATACAGAAGGTGTGCAAATCTATTTTAGTAAATATTTTCAACTATATTGAACCTGATTTGCAGCCTTGAGGTTATTGGTTCAAACCCGCTTTACATAAGAAAAGGAATCTACTTCAGTAAAGCTATTAAACTTGTTGAGTTTTTGCAAAAAATCAATAAACAAGTTAGTCAACATGTTGTTTGTCTTACTGTGTTACTTCTTTCAATCTTAGGAAATTTTGTGATATCTAGCCTGTTTGTATTTTTTTTTTATTTTCTCCATCTCAGAAGTATTAAAAAGATGTTGGACTTGGTTTTTGCTTGCGTAATTATCATCAAACATGTTTCTAGAAGTTTCAATGACCATTGCTCACCTGACAGTCATTGTGATATGAACAAATCTAAGATTTCCAAGATGAGCTTTGTCCTATCTTAGGTTTTGTTGGTGCTGTAAGATCTTCTCACTACCTTCTATGAAATGTTAGCCTAGCTGTTACAACATATTTTTTTCCTCCTGGTTTAGTACTATATGTGGCTTTGCTAATATGACCGTTCAATTTTCCTTAGTTTGTAATGTAGACTCTCAGATAAAAAATAATATTCTAGCGTATAGATTTACCAATTCAAAAATCAATATTGTGGCCTATACATTAATAGAGCATCATAAACACACAACACTGGGCAATAACCTTGTACAATAATGGGCAAAGGGAAGTTCCATAATATGAAAAGCCTAGGCTCCCCTCCCGTTTCTTTCATCATGTGATCCCCAATTTACATAAATGATTGGCACGCCTTTCATTTCTAGGTACTCTCTACTCTGCGTATTCATATTGTGGACAGTATGACAAGGTGTCACAGAGGGCAACTCTTCGAAAAATTTTCAGCAAAAAGAGAATGAGCACTATATATCACAGTCTTATATTTTCTTGGTGTCACATGTGCTTGCCTTGAAACTTCGATTCATGAAACTAAGAGTCAAACACACAAAACGAGGTTAATACTGCTGGAAATCCCGCAAATCAGATTTTGCCTAGGGTTATCCCACAGGACTTCATACACACCATCGAATCTCCCCGGATCGATAGGCACATTATCTATACTACAAGTTCCCTTCCTTCCACTTGATTTAGGTAAGAAAGTTGCAGGAAGGTTTTTGAAGTTGCAGGAATTTTTCCCCTCTAGATCTCTTACACGAAGCAGATTGGAAGAACTCTAACTTCCACACACAATCCCTATAGGCATACCTCACCTTCTCTCTCTCTCTTTCTCTCACCAAAACCCTAAAGGAAGAAGACATACCTCCCTATATTGGGTTAAAAAGCAATGATGGAGTTGCATCTTGCATGATTTCTTCTCTACTTGGATCTCCTATGACAGAGCTGGAAGATCATAAACCCTAGCCTAAACCCACACACATTTCTCCTTCTCTCTAATTTCTCTCACAACCCAAGAACTTGATTTCTAAACATCGTCCTCTCTATTTTGTTAGCATCCCATGTGACCTAACCCTAGGTTTCCTCACATGGAGCTTTCTCTAAAAGTTGGAGAGTGGATACTCGTGTAATATGTAGTGAAATACCCTTTATATAGCGCAGTCTATGGGTAAGCTAGATATAAAAGGAAGTTATCTTTTAACTTTAATGAGAGATTCATGGTGTGAGAGGGCTAATCTTAACCATCCAACTCTTTTCAAACCATCATGAATCAAGGATGGATAATGCATCATCATCCCTGGGGGGATTCCTAGATTCAACACCATTCTAGCTCTAGGTGGAGTCCAATTAGATATTTCATGACTTCTAGATCTCATTGGATTTTTCATAATTGACTCAAAACTACAAAAGATTTCCTACCTTAGTATATAACTCCAAACCGCCTAGGTTTATGGCTTTTCAAAATTTGTAACTATCTAGATTTCAAAAATATTTTCAACTACCAAGTTACTTGCGATTTCATGGTTTCAGATCACATAGAGTCACCAAATTGGATTCACACACGCACTGGGAGATCTAGTGGACCCACATAACCACCTTCAGCCCTTTGGCCAGCCACGTGGCACCTATGGCCAGCAGGGTTCACATTGGTCAAAAATTCAAACCACACGGCCATAGAGACACAACTGCATGTGAAATCTAGGTCCTACGTGTGGGATATATTCTTCAATCTAGTTTCCTATGTAAGAAAATATTTAAATCCCGTAGTCCCCTATTTATAAAATATAACATTTATTCCAAATGTATTCTTATTCGAAATATGAAATTCACTAAACAAAAAGTTTTGGCTAAATAGAGCAAATAATAACCATTTTTATTTTCGTAACGTACTTTGAAAAGCTTCCTCAAATAATTGAGTTAAGGCTTGGATGATGATGATGATACTTTTAAAAATCCTTTTTAAAAACCTTAGAAGAGTGTCCTAGCATTGAAATAAATCCTTCTACGACGCAGTCCACGACTACCCAATAACCACATCTGGACCTCATACCAACCTAGTAGACCCATGAGTCACAAGTCTCCCCTGCAAGGGGTTCATAATTGGCCTATCAAAGTTGGCCAAGACGTAGAAGTGCCATATTCCGCTAGTAGTAATAGATTCCAGGTGCTCTTCCTAAGGACAAGTTTAGGGTCTAGGGCACAGACCTTAAATATTTGTATGGGAGTTCCTAGGTTTCCTCGTTTTACGTGGAAGCTTCTCTCGAGCAAATGCATGCAAATGGTCACACAGACCCAATAAAAACCTAGGATCACACTGATCTGAGACTCTCTAGGATTATAGAAGTCCTAGATTCTCTAGGATCATATAGATCCTAGGCAACTAGTAACATGCATGTTGTGTAGGATTCCTTTGCCGAGGTTTGCAGGCACTTGTCCTCACAAGCCTCTATACATCCTACACCACATGAGCCTTTTTCATCTCCTAGCCACAAAACACCCTTGCCATGCCGGCCTCGACAGGTTACTGATGGACCTTCTTTGGCAATGTGCATCATGATTCTAACCATGAACAGCCAAAGGTGTGGGTTCGTTTATCTGGCCATGGCCTAATTGCATACCAAGGAGAAAGTGACTGGGCCTGCTATGTCCTAGACAGAGCCCAGCTCCCTACTCATTCCTTGCTCTAGGTACCCAAATAGAGCATATACCACTTAAGAGTGTAATCCATGAAAATAAAGCATGAGATTGTATACATGAAAAACACCATAGAGGTTTAGTCAAAGACCAAGGATACATGAATTTAGCACCCCAAAAGTCAGCTTATGATATGTGGTAACTTCCTAATCATTTATGATGGCACAATTAATCTACCTACCATTGGACCAAACAAATACCATGTCTTAATGTCTTCCATGTGGTTACCTTAAAAAAAATACTTGTTTGTATGCAATTTTATCAGTTTTGGCTTATGTTGAAATAGAATTCTCTGAATGACGAAAAATAAGTGAGCTTGTTAGCTGTGAATTTTATGAATATCTAAATATGTTAAACTGCAAGCTAATCAACCTGATGAAACTGAGTAAGCCTCAAGAATTTTTCTCAATATAATGAGAAGTATAATAGTCAAATAAAACAAGCTCCTCTACACCAGATACATAGCTGGTTCTACATTCTATATTCCACATGTGCAATTCTTTTCCATTGGAAATCAAAGGGTTTTTCGCTGTCCCAGTTTTGGTCAGTAACTATCTTGCATACTTAATTTGGGATAAGTAAATCTCTCTCTACGAATAAGCCATTGCAATCTGCAGGTGGTATTTCAAAGTCACCCAGATCTGAAAGATCAAATGCATCCTATACAGTGTTTCAAAAAGCGGATCGCCTAGCGCCTGGGCGGCGTCTGGGGTTCGAGTCAATTATGATGATGATGATAGTGATGAGGATGGGATTGGGGAGGGATGTCAAGAGGTAGAAGTAGAACAATCCACTATTAGGGGAAAGGGAAAGGGAGTTATAATTGCTTCTGGTTTTGGTTTTGGTTCTGGGAGTAATAGGCCTCGGGTTAGAGGCCCTATGGATAGTTTTTTGTCTCGGCTTGCCCCTTGGATTGCAGGAGAGAAAACAAAGAAGAAAATCACCTTTGAAAATAGAATGGAGAAGGAAGAGAGAGATAGAGCTGCTTATTATCTTGCTACATGGTTTTATGAGGCGGGCATTCCTTGCAATACCGCTCGTTTAAGAAGCTTCTATGCTGCGGTAGAGGAAATTGGTCAATTTGGGCCTGGGATGAAACCCTCCAACCCCATATGAGCTTTCAGAGCCTCTTTTGAAAAAGGCGGTGAGTGTCACAAAGGAAGCTGTAGAAGTTAAGAAGGATGCATGGGCTCAATATGGAGTTTCTATTATGACTGATGCTTGGAGTGATAGGAAGAGAAGAAGTCAGATGAATTTGCCTGTAAATTGTCCTTTAGGGACTTTTTTTTTGAGGTCTATTGATACTTCTAATATATCCATGATGGCCATTACATATTCTAAGTTTTAGAGAAGGGAATCAAAGAGGTTGGGGAGCATCATGTTGTCCAGGTTGTCACAGACAATGCTTCTCCTAATGTAGCTAATTTGTTGCGCATAGCTTATCTTAGAATCTTTTGGACACCATATGCAGCAGATTGTAATATTGTATAGACCTCATGCTTGAGGCTCTTGGCGGTTTAACCGAGATATCAGGTGCTTTGAAGAAGGCAAAGTCAGTTACAAATTTCATTTATGGCCACCATCTCACCGTCAGCATGATGCGTAGATTTTCAAAGAAGAAAGAGATTGTGAGGCCTGGGGTCACGAGATTTGTGACCTGGTACTTATGCCTAGATAGCATACATTCGAGGAGAGTGCAGTTGAGGCAGATGTTTACCTCGGATGATTGGAGAGCATGCAAGTGGTCCAAGGATCAGGTTGAGAAGAAGGGGAGAGATATTATCATTTCTAAGGCTTTTTGACGAGGGGTGAAGGACGTTCTTAAGGTATTTTTCCTCTAGTCAAAGTCCTTCACATAGTTGATAGTGACAAGCCTTCTATGGGTTATATATATGAGACTATGGAGAAATGCAAAAGAGAGAGCCCAAAATTTTGATAATGAAGAGAACAGCTACTAGCCTGTTTGGAGATTATTGATGAGAAGTGGGATATGAAGCTACATCGGCGATTGCATGCAGTTGGTTATTATTTGAACCCATCTTTTTTTTATGTTGACAAGAATATACACACAAATGACTGGATTTAATAAGTGTGTAGATGTGCTAGTCCCTGATCCTGATATCTAGGATATTATATGCGCTGATAAATTACAAGTGCTCATTAAAGTCCTTTAGAAGTCCAATGACGATTAGGCAGACGACCAAAATTGATCCAGGGTGTAATAATATTCTTAAGTTTATCAAGTTCAAGTAATCATGTTTCATTTTTATAATTCTGTTATTTATTTATGATTTTATTCTATATCTTTGCAGCCAATTGGTGAAGCCAACATGGGTGTAGTTCTCCAAATTTACAAAAGTTGGCCATTCGGATCTTATACCTAACCACTTCCTCATCCGGTTGTGAGCGCAATTGGAGTACTTTTGAAGGGGTAAGGCCGTAAGGGTAATTTGTATAATTGTATTAATAATACATGAACCATAGATTTTAATTAGTTTCATTTGATTTTTTTAGATTCATACGACGAGAAGGAACATGCTTGAATCAAACAGGCTCAATACTTTGTTTATGTCAAATTGTCAAGTATAATCGATTCTTGAAGGTTAGGTTTGCTAAAAGAGATAAGAGAGAGCCCATCAGATAAAAAATATAGACAATGCTATGGAGTGGTTAGTTGATAATGATGAGGTCGAGGGGCTTGAAGGATTGACATGGGACTTGGTCATGGATGTTTTAGGGACATCATCGGACCCTCCTAGGGCCACTAGATCTTCTGCACAGAGAATGAGGGTGGAGGAGGAAGATGAGGAAGAAGAGGCAGATTCAGAAAAAACGGAGGAGGACGACCAATATGTTGAGGAGGGTGACGAGTCTGATGATTATGATGCCAATCCAGCTGACCCTAATTTTTTTGATGATGAATGATGAATGTTGAATAATTATTAAACTTTGAACTTTGATTGAACTATGAATGGTAAATTTTAAGTTTTAATTGGATATGGATTATGGACCGACTTATGGTTATACTTATGGAGTGTGTGCTAATGTGTAGTATACTTTCCATTCTGATATGCCCTAAATACCTAATTCTTATATTTTATACAATATATAACAGTAGAATCCTTTTTGGATTCAACTGGGCCGCCTAGGTTTTGGGCGCTTGCATAGGCGTTGCGTGGCTTGGACCCCCCAGGCCGCCTAGGACCTGCCTAGTGCTTTTTGAAACTATGATCTTATATCATCCTCAACAAGCACAATGTCACTAGAGGAGTCAATTCAACCTGCCCTATATAGACAATGGTTTATATAGTACCCAGTACCCCTATAGTTTGCTTTATTATTGACAAAATAGAAAATCATATGTGAATTGTAATGGTTCAATCCATGATGTTTGGGATGAGTACTGGTGTGAGTTTTCTAGGTTTTCAGATAAGAATTAGATATTAGAAATATTGAACTCAAGTGCTGCTTAGACTTTGATATGCTGTAGTTATTACCTAATATTAAGGACAGTTTTCCGATTGCAAAATTAGATTCACATAACCTAGATGCTTGCTGACCTACCAATTCATTAACTACCATTATGCATGAGTACGTGGTGTGTTTGCTCTATATGGTAGAAACTGATCAGGTGGACATTTTAACTTGGTTTGAAATGCAGGTCTATCACACATATGCACTCAGACACATTATGCTCTAGGAAACGTTTTCCTTGGATAGGAAGAATTTATGTGCATTGTATCTTGATACGTTAGAATCATATGCATTCTCTGTTACTTTGCTCCTAGTCTGGCCCTCTTCTTTCATCGATACTGGTGGTGCTATGTCTAATATTCCTTAAAATGTTCATGCAGTGAGTATATGACCTATGTCACTGAGGCCCTCGAGCTTGAAGACACAATTAAAAATTATGAACGTGGAAGTTCGACAGAATGGTTTGTTACCATCGGACCTTAATTATTGGGTTCTCTATCTAATCATTCTTAGAATCTTTGTATGGTAGTTAAGTTCTCTTTGCACAGGACTGAGTATTCATTAGTAAATATTTTAAGCTTGCTATGGAAGAAATTATATGAGATGGTTTATGTGTTGTAGATATCACCTCCTGTGTGTATTTTGTGATTGCGCACTATAAGGACACAGGTGGTATTATTCTTTATGTCTAATGGAATCTGTATAACTGTAAGTAGTAGAATAATGAAATGGCATATGGATCAATTTGATTCACTTGCCATTTATTATAATATATACTCTATGCAGATGCCATTGGAGAAAAAGGCTAATATCACTCGTGCTTTGATCCACAGGCCATTCATTTTAACATATACTGTCTGCAGTTTGGTCTAAGAAAGGTGAGGACCTTAAACTTTCCCTTAACCCATCCTAAGCCCGGATAAAAGAGGTGGGTTGTGTTAGGTAGGCAGTGAAGGTAAAACTTTGCCAAAACTTTCTATGAATCCGGGATCTATGGTGATATACTGTTTGCAGATACACAGGTACTATTGGACATAGTGACTAATAACATGTGTCCTACAATAGGCAATCACAAAATAAATACAGAGCGAAATTGTGAACCCAGTAATGTAATACCCATAATGCTCTACACATTACACCATCTCTTACAGAAATGATTAGAAAGTATACTTGCTGTGGGATTCTCTAATCGAGCCCTTACAATCTAATGGACTTCGTTAGATAAATTTCTACATTATTTGTATGAGCACCAACTTCATGTTTATTAAGTGGAAAACCTAATGGAAAATAAGAGTATCGAAGTTCAGTGTTGATTAGGCTGAATCCTGAAATTATTTGCAAGAGCATCAACTTCATGTTTATTCAGTGGAGAACCTAATGAAGAATGAAATTATTGAATGTTTGATATATCATTTGGGTGTTAGTAAAAATCTCGTGGTGCCATTATGGTGGGTCTTCTGCATTCACTCTTAAGGTCATTAGACACTATTAAGCAACATCCTACACATTTGCGCCTGTTTATGATTTTGAATTTGGAGTTTTGGACCTCAATTAGAATAGTACGAGACAGAATTGCTCATGTCAGTGAAAAATCAGTGTCCATTCCCTTCATCCTTCATGAAAATGGGATTTTGTTTGGTCTCAAAAATGATTGCAGTTTTGAGTTTTCAAGATGCTTTATTGAAGTTCATGTTTTTTGTATGTTTGTGATTGTACTTACCAAATTTATACTGTTACAGGAAATATATTTCAAGTTTCCGACCCAGTCGGACTGGGACCCTTGCTCCCATCTTAGATACGATGGGTAATTATTTCCTGTATTCTGGAATTATTGGATTTCATTATTTCTGATGCACTTCTCCTTTGGAGAAAGGTTTTCATTTCTTCAAAATTGCCCTGAAAGCCCTTTATTTGTGACCAGTTTAAAGAAAACTCTATATTTCTGCAGTCAGAAGTAATTGATTTTGAATGAAATGCTATTGCCATCCAATTTTCACCCTTTCTGCTTGAGGAACTGCATTAACACCCGATATGCACTAGAAGCACCTTATTTCAAATGAAAATTTTAGTGAAAATAATTTTTCATGATGCATCCAAAAGGGTCTGTGTGTGGTGGCTTGCATGGTATCCCTGAACTGCATTTTCTTAAACTGGAAGCCATAATGGATCTTTTTTTTTTCCATTCTTTCTTTCTATGTGTCTATGCAAGTCTAACTGCTTCAGTGCGTTAGATTGATCATTGAAACATATTCTATACATGTATAAGTCTTATCTGGAAGTTACTAATTGCTGTGCAGAATGGGTATGGCGTTGTGTTCTTAGAAAGCAGCTGGAGAAATTCTTGGCTATCATTCTCGGTTGCATGTCAGCTGCCATTCTTCTAGCTGAGGCTACACTTTTGCCCAGTGGAGTCGATCTATCACTTTTTTCCATTCTAATTAAGGCAGTTGGGGAGCAAGAGATGCTTGTACAGGTGATAGCTTAACGCCTTCTTTCATTTTCATATTTTACTCGTGTTTAGGGGTATTTTGGTATTTTATTTCTTATGGAGGAATATGATATACTCAGACTAGAAATTTGGTAGTTGACCCTGAATTGATTCCTTTCTTTTATGTGCACTCTCGACATGCTCTATGTTAGAATGATGCAGTCAAATAAAATTTTATAACATCTTCTAGTAATAGGTAACTCTATACTTTTTGAGTTTTTGAATCCACAAAGGGTTGCACTTGAGGTGACTTGATTACAACCTGAATTTCATGTGATAAAAAACTTTAGACCACTTACTAGATATATTTGTGCCTAGAAATCCCCAAATTTTGGGTTGGAAGAAAACCTGGTCTAAACCTAGTGTGGTACAAAGTAATATTTTTTGAAGACCATCACGGGTTTGAGTTTTTGAGATAGGTTGTATTCAGCCAGTGCTTTTTACCCAATTTGTTGCACTGGCTACAATTTATATGTCTGGCTGGGTTTAAACAACTCCAGAGAGATGATAAAAGTAGCACTGCCCATATATTGTTAATTGAGTTTCTTGTCGCAGAAATCAAAACATGTTTTTTTCAGGGACTGACTTGCAAAAAGTGACAACCGTAATTCTCTGCTACATCATAGGTTGGAGATTTGTTCAAAAAGTCATTAATAGAAGGAAAATTACATGGTCTATGAATTGTTGCTCAGTTTGATGGATTCCCATTTGAGGAAGGTTGTTGATGGTTATTCATAAATTCTGCATATATTATTATCTGCATGATTAGAATTTCCTTGGTTGTTTATGTGTTTCTATTTTGCCCATCATCCGCACTTTGGTCACTCTGTTTGTGTTTGTATAAAAGGGATGAAAATGGAATTCATTTTTACCATAATCTAATCTTATGTTAACCTGTAATTATAAAAATGTTTACAAACTTACATTCAAGTAGCATAATTACATCCATGTATGTGAAGATCCAAATCCCAATAGAGATATCTTATTTTGTAAGTAACAATAAGGGGAACTACTTCCTTTTATTACTACATATCGGATGATGTTCTAGATTGTTTGCAAGTGCCATTCAACCGCACCCTAGGTGTATTCATCCCTTAATGATGATGAATTGTGTACTTTCTTGTTCCTACCTTTTTTGGTTTTTTTGCAGTTCAGATTGCTCCATTTGACTTTCTTTTTTCATGAGGTCTTTCAATGTTGCTAAATATCATCTTGGACTTTACAAAATCTTACATGCAGGTTACTGCTTTCGTCCCTTTGATGTACATGTGCATTTGTACATATTATTCGTTGTTCAAGATTGGGATGCTGATGTTCTACTCTTTGACTCCGAGGCAAACGAGTTCTGTGAGTTTGCTAATGATATGCTCGTAAGTGTTTCTTTTATGCATCTTAGATTCTTAAAAAGTTTGTTCTTATGGGTATTGTTGGAAGTAAGTTTCTGATATTTAGTTACTGACCCTATGAATTTTGTTAGGATGGTTGCTCGATATGCACCTCCAATATCTTACAACTTTCTCAATTTCATTCGACTTGATGGGAAGAAAACTACCTTTGAAAAGGTGATCCATTTCTTCTGATGATGGTACTTGGACTATGTTGTTGTTTTTATCCCCTTTTTTTTGTTCGTGTTTGACTGACAATGTACATGTGCATATGTTTTGATAGAGATTCTGATAACCTTCAATTTGAGACAGATTCAAGTGTTATCATATCCCTTTAAGTATAACTACATCAAGTTTGTTGTCTTTTAAGTCCACTTATAAGTGACAAAAGCAACTAATGGAAGTATTAATTATTGACTTAATAGTATTTGTGATGCTTAATTTTGCTTATTGGGGGAATGTAATTCACAATTAATCAAACTATAGGAAAAATATATTTGATAAGCCAATGGCTTTGGGTTACACTATAAGTGTAGGTCCAAAATACATAGCTAGATGGATGTTCTTCCAAATTTTGCACATCATATTTGATTTGAAAAGCAAACAATCTCAACAGAAAGAGAGCCAATCAAGGACCTGACTATTAAACACCTCCCCTCAGTCTTGGCTCTCACTGAGACCAAACAGCCGGAGCCCACTCTCCAACTCATTCGCCTCGTTTGGGGTAGAAGGCCTTGCCATTGGGCTTCTTTGTCGGGGCATCAGGTGGAATATGGGTGATTTGGAGCCCATCAGAACACCTCCTATCTTCCCATATAGGGCAGTACTCGGTTACACATTTCAGACGGTTTCCCCTGGAAATTCTCGGCCATCTACGGCCCCAACTCAGCCTCTCTCAGACCTCTATTCTGGGCTGAATTGGACTATGTTGCTTCCCTATCTCACCCTGCTTGGTGTTTGGGTGGGGATTTCAACATTACCAGATGGTCCCATGAGAGAAACTCCAAACCCACCATCTCTCAGGGAATGATGGATTTCTCGGAGTTCATATTCTGCCATTAACTCTTAGATATCTCTCTTCAAGGAAACTGTTTTGCTTGGTCTAATCATTCCTCTCAACCATCCCTCTCTAAACTAGATATATTTCTCCTCTCTTTGAATTGGGAAGAACAATTTCCGGGCTCTCATGCTTTGGCCTTGCCTAAACCCACCTCTGACCACTGCCTCATTCTCCTGAACACTCAAGCTGTCAGGAGAGGACCGAAGCTTTTTAGATTTGAACTAGCCTGTCTTGAAGAGGACTCTCTCTCTACCGTGATTCCAGCTTGGTGGAACTCCTTTTCTACCCAGGTTTCGGGTAGAGCAGGTTATAGGCTACAAACCAAAATTCAACTCCTTAAAGCCTCCCTCAAAACCTGGAGTATGTTCATCCTAGGTAACTACTCCCAAACCAAGTTCTCCCTACTGAATTCCATCCAAGACCTTGATTGAACAGACGAGTCCAGACCTCTGACTGCCATGGAATCAAACCTTAGAATCCAAACAAAGCTGGAATACTTCTCCGTTCTAAAAAACGAACTGTACTGGTTCTAGAGGTCTAGAGTTAACTGGTTAAAAGCAGGGGACTAGGATATGGGTTTCTTCCACCGGATAGCTAACTGTCGCAGGAGAGACAATATGATCTCAATCATCAAGGTGGATAATTGATATTTGGTTCAGCCGATGGAAATCGAGTCGGCCATCCTTGGGTTGTTCAAGACTCTCTACATTGCCCCTCTGGGTCACAGACCAAGGATGACCAACCTCGATTTCTTAACTCTTCCGGACCACTGGGCACTTTGGCTAAGAAAGGGGCTGGAGCGCCCTTTCTCAGAAGAGGAAATTTCCGAGGCTATTGATGAGTTAGCCAAAGACAAAGCACCGGGTCTGGATGGGTTTCCCATTGGCCCTTTCAAAATCTTTTGGGAAACCTTCCAACCGGACTTCAAGAGTTTCTTTGAGGAATTATTCCAACGGGGAATCCTTCATAAAGCCATCAACGCCACTTTCATAGCTTTAGTTCCTAAGGTCGAAGGGGCAGAGGAACTAAAGGACTTTTGTCCAATTAGCCTGCTCAATTCCTTGTACAAAAATCTGGTCAAGGTTCTGGCCTTAAGGCTAAAACAAGTATCGCTGTCGCAGTCCTCCTTCATCAAAGATAGGAAAATTTTATATGGGGCTTTAGTGGCACATGAGTGCCTACACTTCAGGCACATTTCCAAGAAGCCCGGTCTTATTTTCAAAATTGATTGGGAGAGCGTATGACCACGTAGACTGGTCAATACTGGACGAGACAATGACAAGAATGGGATTCGGGGTCCCCAAGAGAAAGTTGATGAGAGGCTGCTACTCTCATCCCCACTTCTCGGTCCTCATTAACGAGACTCCAAAAGGGTCCTTTCCATCCTCGAGGGGGCCCCTCCAAGGGGATCCACTATCCCCTTTTCTCTTTGCTATCACAGTAGAAGTCTGCGGTCGCTCAATCCTCTCGTTTGTACCAGGAAGGTCTCCTCACTGGCTTCAAATGCAGCCTCACGGTCCAATATGCAGATGACACTTGGGTGTTCCTTGATGCTTCTCCGGAAGAAATTGAAAATCTGAGGCTTTATCTCAAATGCTTCAAGGCAGCTATAGGCTTTATCTGATTTTCTACCATTGCAGATAAAAGGGTCCTATCTGGGGACCAAAGAGTCTGGAACTCCTCTTTCAAAAGAAACCTCACTGAAGAGGAAACTAGCCTTTTCCTTTCACTTTTTGTCTGCTTGGCATTCCTCTTCATAGCTCCATGGGGAGGGACTCTCTATTCTGGACTCTCGCTTCCTCTGATACCTTCTCGGTGGCTTCATTTTACAAAAGACTTATCCAACCCCCCACCTTCCCACTCAATCGTATCTCAGTCCTATCCAAGGTCTGGTCGACCATTGCTCCTCCCAAAGTACAGACCTTTAACTGGATTTCTTGCTCTCAACGGGCTCACATAGTTGACTAGCTACAAAAGAAAGGATTTCAATCCCCAATAGATGCGCCATGTGTTTAAGTGAGGAGGAATCGAATTCACACCTCTTCATTCACTGTAGCCTCGCTTACGACCTGTAGAGCCAAGCACTATAGCTGTTCGGCCTTCAATGGGTCACTCCACCCTCGGTCAAGGCTCTTATCTCCTCGTACCACGCTTCTCATTGGCCAAAGGATGGTAGAACCTTGTGGAAGGCTGCCATCGCAGCCACCATCTGGGTGATCTGGTTAGAAAGGAACACCAGGGTCTTCTAAGGCCACAAAAACGTAGTCTCAACTCTCTTCCACAAGGTTACTTCTCTAGTAACTTTTTGGGCCTCCAACCATAAGGCCTTCTCCGGGATTTCAGCAAACACTTTTCATGGCCAGTGGGAAAATATCCTCAATCTCCAACCATAGAAGGTCCAAAGACCCAACAACTGGCTGCCACCTCCAGAAGGCGCTATTAAGCTTAATTTTGATGGTTGCTCTCTGGGGAACCCTGGCCCTGCTGGACCGGAGGTGTCTTCCGAGACCCTCATCGCAATATCTCGTTCAACTTTTTCGAACACTTAGGCTATGAAGATTCTTAGTATGCTGAAGCCATGGCTTTGCTCTTGGGTCTTAAAAGCTTCAACCATTCATGGGGATCCCACTTGCTGATGAAAGGAAATACTCAAAATGTCATTTCCTGGCCAGTACAGACTTCACCACCGCCATGGTACCTATCTTCGATTTTTCATGAGATTGCTTACACTTGTAGGGATATGGTCGTCTTATGGAAGCATATTTGGGGGACGTGCAACGAGTTTGCCGATCTTCTGGCGAGAGACAGAGCTAGGGCCCAAGCAGAAGACCCTGCCTGGTACATCTTCCTTTTTTGCTCTGGACCTTAGTGGGCGTACTGGTGTTTAGCTACACCTTAGTACATTTCTTGTAACTGGGCAAGTCTATAAGCCCAGTTTATAAGCCCCTTTTTTTGTAACTCCAAACTATACCTATTGTAATCAAGCAGGTCTATAAACCCAATTTTTTGTATTGGGTCTTTGGACCTATTTTTTGACCGAGAGACCCGACTTGTGGGTACTTTCGGATACCTCTTCTGTACTCCAACACTCTACAACAATACAAAAGTTAACTTTACTCAAAAAAAAAAAAAAAAATCTCAACAGAAAAAAAAAGAAGAGAGATGATTATGAGTTCTCAAAGGCCTAGATCCACCGACCACCAAATGGATGGCCTGTGTTGACCAAAAATGCCACAATTTATTTTCGCCCCTCCTATTGTGTAAGTCAGTATTGTTTTGTTTTTTGGATCACTTGGTTGGGATCATAGTTGTTGGGAACGGAAGCGGGAGTGGGTGCGGGTGCGGGACCTTGGGACCCTGTTCCTTACCCTTGGAGCACTTGGGATCACTCCTTAGGGAGTGACCTAGGTGTGATCTCCTATATATGATCTACATGTATATGGGAGCATAGGGGGAGCGCCCCATTTATATATTTGTATATGTATGTATATATGTATGAATGTAATATATATATTTTTTATATCTATATGATTTTATTTTTTTGTATATATTATTCCAATAGCAACACACACACACACGCACACGCACGCACAGAGAGAGAGAGAGAGAGAGAGAGAGAGAGATATACACACACACACACAGAGACAGAGATAGAGATACACACACACACACACACAGACAGAGACAGAGATACACACACACACACACAGAGACAGAGACAGAGACGGAGAGAGATACACATACAGAGAGAGAGAGACATATATATATATATATATATATATATAGATATTATCATCAATTGCTGCTATATATACCCAGAGAGAGAGAGAGGGACATAGATATATCTATATATATATATATATAGATATTATCATCAATTGCTGCTATATATTATTGCAATTAGCTGATTGATAAATCCATAATATATGTATCTGTGTATACTTGCATAATATGTCCAATCAATTTATTTAAAAGTGATATTTTAGAAAATAAAAGAATGAACAATCAATCTTATAGCATTATCAATATGCTTAAGACATGCTAATAAGACAATGTGCTGCATGAACAACATCACCAGGTTTGTTATTTTCAATTACAATGTAATGCAATTGTAGAA